GAATCCCCCACTTTTGGCTTTTTGAGACAGTCTCCCTATAGCCCCCCTGGCCTAGAACTCACTATGTAGACCAGGCTGGTCTCAATCTCACTAAATCTGGGACAAAGATGTGCCCCATCCTGCCTTGCCCTGAGAATCCCTCTTCTGGCTTCTGAGCATACCTACACATAAGCACACATACTCATACACAAGCACATAGTTAAAAATAAAATCTTAAAAACAGTAACAAGCGAAGTGTGGTGATGCATGCACTTAGTCCCAGTACTTGGGAGGCAACAGCAGGTGGATCTGTGTGAGACTGAGGTCAGCCTGGTCTACACAGCAAGTTCCAGGCTAGCTGGAGCTACTGGCAGTAGCCTGTTTCAAAAAAAAAAAAAAAAAAAAAAAAAAAACTAAAAAGTGTATCCTCTGCTGTAGTGGCACTAGAAGTTCAAGGCACTGGTGAGAGTTTGTAGTCCTAGCACCCAGGAGGCTGAGGCAAGATCACTTGAGCTCAGGAGCAGACCTGCTTGGGCAATACAAGGAAACTATCTCAAAACAACACAACACAAAATAAAATGAATTAAAATGCATGCAGGAGGCAGAGACAGGTGGATCTCTGTGAGTTCAAGGCCAACCTGGTCTACACAGCGAGTTCAGACCAGCTGGGGCTAGAGGGAGACCTTGTCTCAAAAAGACCAAAATAATAATATTAATAATTTTTTTAGAAAGGGGGGAAGACAATATTTACTCACTGTCATAAAGAAGGCACAGTGGCATACACCTATAATCCCAGCTACTCAGGAGGACCTCATCACAAACCTGTATCACATTGACCAGGCCCTGAGTTAGACTGAAGGAGGATTAAAAATTTAAGGAAAGCCCCGAGTTATACTGCAAGACCCTACTTTTTAAAAAGGAGAAAGCAAAACAAAACCAAAAAACCACCTGTAATCCCAATGCAGGAAGACTGCCCAGAGTTCTAGGCCATCCTGGGCTACTTAGCAAGACCCAGTCAAAGAAATACTGAATTAACTTGATCATCTTTCTGCACTTCCAACTTTTTTTAAAAATATACTTTCAAATTTACTAATAATACAATGGATTTCATACGAAAAAGTAGCATCAGAGAACAAGAAATTTAAATTTTTCAGAGTTCTCCAAAAGTATTCTAATGTGAACTAGGTAAAATTTAATATTTTGAATTTGATAAAAGCCTGTTGCTGAGCCAGGCATGGTGGTGCCCAGCACCTGGGAGGCAGAGGCAGGCGGATTTCTGTGAGTTCAACACCAGCCTGGTCTACATAGCAAGTTCCCAGCCAGCTGAGGCCACAGGAAGACCCTGTTTCAAAAAGGCAGAAAAAAAACCTGTTATTGGTTGGAACTTGGAATTAACTTGGAATTTAGCTAGTGGTACAGTACCTCTCTAGGATGTGAAAGGTCCTAGGTTTGATCTCCTGATACCCACCACACACACAACTACTTGTCATATCAAACCAATATTAATTTATTTCTTATTGAAAAATCAAGAAAGTCTAATATTTAAGCCTCTATGAATATAAAAGGTCTTTTAAAAAAGGATACAAACAGACTTATAAAAGGCAAAGGGCAATCTACAAAATTTCTAAGCTCAATAAACATGTCAAAACTTCAACTTCGGGGCCAGGCGTGGTGGCATATGCCTTGAATCCCAGGACTCAGGAGGCAGAGGCTGGTGGATCTCTGAGATCAGCTTGGTCTATGTAGTGAGTTCCAGGCCAGCTGTGGCTACAGGGAGACCCTGCATCAAAAAGACAAAAACAAAACAAAATTTCAACTTCACTAGCTTAAAAAAAATAAAAAGCTCATTTTTAAAATGGCCATTTAATGCCAACTAGGCAACTAGTATAAGCTGAAAGCAGTATGTTAACAATTTATCACAGTCTTGAAAATGAGCCAGTTCTCTAATTTTGAAATTGGACTTACCCCAAGAAAATAAGAACTCACTCAATGACTGACCAGTAAGGATATTGTTCGTGATGAGTCAGAAACTATAAAAAAGTCAGTAACAGATTCGTTGTTCAATTTAATCTGTGGTCATTAAGTTCTTGAAAAATAGTTACTTATTGATGAAAGTTGTTCAGTCTTTGATTTTGCAACCTAATTTTTTTCCCCTCTGAAAACATGAACAGAGCATACAAAATCATTTCTGTTGTTTCAAAAATATATATTAGCTATGCTGGATCCAGAAAAATAACAATGGTTCACACTCTGGTGTATCTGTCTTGGGGAAGGCTTATTTTGTCTTTTAAGTTTTCCTTTGCTTGTGAGGTTTTTCTTTCAATGTGCACATATTACCTGTATCTTAAATTTAACTCTACAAGCATAAATAACCTACAAACATAACCAAAGCCTAGCTCAGGCATAGGAGGTATGCCATTCAGGTCTGGAATATATCCTATGTTTGAATTTCTACATATGAACTTTTAACGAAGGATACAAGCTTACATGTTCCTGGATCCTACTTAAGAACATCCCTACAATAAGGTAAACTAGAAACAACAACAAAAAAAATTTCTTCAAAACTCAGGTAAGAAAATATAAAAGTAGGACACTTTAGGGTGGAGAGATGGCTCAGCGGTTAAGAGCACTGGCTGCTCTTGGAAAAGACTGGGATTTGAATCCCAGCATCCAAATGGCAGCTAACAACCATCTGTAATTCTGGTTTGGGGGAAACTGATGCCTTCTTCTGACTTCTGAGGTCATTAGTATGACACTGATACACTTACACATGCAGGCAATATATTCACACACATAAAACAAAAACAAATAAAAAAGTAGACTTAAAAAAAAACTATTTTTAATAGGTCTTTTGATTTCAACATTCACTCTCACCTAAATAAGAATATGTCACACACATCATCAGCTACATTTCTGTTCCAGAAATGAAATAAAGAATTTGTTTCTGGCCTAGAAATAAGACAAAGCTAAGAACTGACAAAATTGGATGAAATTTAACTACAGTAAAATATGCATGTATAAGTCAAAAAATTATAATAAATATCCTTGAGTTATTTTAAAACTTAATTAAAATGTTAGTAACCTAGGGAGTTTTAGAACATCAGATTCTTATATAGTTGCAGATAAATAAAAGAATTCAAAGCTTAACTACAAAATAGTAATGGCAATTCTTTTTTCTATTTCATAAAAGAAAAAAAAAAAACTCAAGTTAATGGCCTTTATTTTGAATCAGAAACTTATCTGACCCCTACAACAAGCCTTCCATTTCCTTCTCAGACTGCATTATCTATATTAAAACTTGAGATTTCCACTAATGACAACACTTGAGTAGATTTTTTTCTATTATTCAAAACATAATCTGCGCCGGGCGAGGTGGTGCATGCCTTTAATCCCAGCACTTGAGAGGCAGAGGCAGGGAGTTAGTTCTAGGCCAGCCCAGTCTACATAGTGAGGTCCAGGTCAGCTGGGGCTACAGGGAGACCGTCTCAAAAAAATACCAAAAAAAGAAAAAAAACCCCAAAACAAAAATCATCCCTTAGATAAGAGTGAGCAGCTTAAACCAAGTCAAAAAAACAGTATGAGAGGAAAACCTGGAGCTAAAGGAAAGAATAGCAAGAGTAAACAAACATCTGCATAAATATTATGGATTATTAAGCAAATAGTGCTTAGATGGCTCAATTTATGAAACTGTTGCTTATTATACGATACCATAAACATGTTATTAGTGGAAAGTCAAAAATGGGGCTGTCAGTGAATATTAAACATTAAGGCAACCCATTTTAAAGAAAAATGAGTGGTGTGCTTTCCTTTAACTTGCTGTTCCTGCAGTTTCCTTCCAAGTAACCAGTTTTCTAAAAGTTGAACTTACCAAAATTCCATTTTCATTTATTTTTCAGGTACCGGGGACTGAACCTAGAGTTTCGCACATACTAGGCACTACCACTGACCTTTATGTATGTCCCCATCCCTCCTTTTAGTTTATTTTGAGACAGGGTCTCACTAAGTTGCCCAAATCCGCCTTGAGCTCATTCTCTGTAACTCAGGGAGGCCCTAAACTTACCATCCACCTGCCTCAGCCTAAGTACATGGATTACAGGCTTGCACTACAGGGCCGGGCTTCATTTTTATTTTTCAATGAAGTCCCTTTCGTGATAACTTTTTAAAAAAAAATGGAAAGTCATTCCTAAAACTCAAAAAATAAAACCTTAATGCACAACGTTAAAAGAGATGCAGTTACTGACTTTAACCAGTCTGAGCATGAAACAGAAATATTCCAAGAAAGGGAGTTCGGAAGCAGAAAGCCTCTACTTTCTAATTCACAAGTCTTGTCCAACTAGACAACATTGCGTTTTATTGTTGTAACTACAAGGAAGGACAGGCAATCTGCGATAACTATTCCAACAGCTTCAAGCAAGTTGCAAGCTACCACTATAAGTAGCAGCAGTTAGGTCCCAAACAAAGATAAAAAAAAAAGATGAGCACCAACCTCACCATAAGAAAAGAAAGCCCATCAGCACCTTTTCCAATAAGCAGTCCCCTTCCCCCACCTTTAAGTAGTCACTGAAGCTGCCAAGGAGATCCATTTCTTCATTAACCGGTGCCCACTTGGGGCAACCGTACACCAAGCTTCTCTAAAGGCCTACCCTAATCCCGTCCGAAACTGCTGGAGACACTGAAGGCTGGGATAACCCTGATGGATAGGGATCGGACTCTTCCGGGCTCCTTGCACACCCATCCACCCAAAGTCCTCCTCCGGCCCGCAAGAGCGACCGGGTCCCAGGGAGTGGCAGGAATTGCGGACTGGAGCTGGCTCAGGCGGCCGCAGGCCTCCGCCATGGCAGGACCAGGGGAAGCACCGCCCCGGCGCACCTCCTGACCAGCCGGCTGATGCCCAGCACAGGCAGCCGGGGAGCCGGGCGCGGGACGCACCAGGCCCAGGCCTGCCTCTCCAGGCCGCGCTGGCCGCCGGAATCCGCTCCCCGCGCCAGCCTGGGTCCACACGGCGCGGCGGGGCCCCTCACCTGGATGACCTCGTTGACCTCGCGGATACATTCCACCATGTGTTGCAGGATCTGCTCCGCCGTGAGCACCTCGTAGCGGTAATCCTCCTCCTGCTCGTGGCCCGGCCCGCCGCCGCCGCCGCCGCCGCCGCCTCCGGGCCCCAGAGCGCTGCCGCCGCCGCCGCCGCCCGTCTCTCCGCACAACAGTCCGTCCCGCTCGCCGCCGACGCCCAGCCCGGGCTCCACCAGCTCCACCTCGCCCAGGTCTAGGTTATCATCGTCCGGCTCGTCCTCGTCGTCGTCCTCCTCCTCCTCCGCGCCGCTGTCCTCCTCGCTGCACTCCTCGTCCTCGTCGAACTCGTAGTTGTAGCCCTCGTCCGAGTCCATGGCGCGACGCGCGGGGGCCCGGCGGACGCTGGCCGAGGCGGGGAGAGGGCGGGGACGCCGAGGCCCCGGCTCTCGCTCCGGCTCCCGCGGAGGTCCGGAGGCAGGCCTGGCTCCGGCCCGGGCGCGGCGGTTGGCGGCTGGCGGCGGCGCGGAGGGCGCGGAGGAGGGCGAGAGAGAGTGACGGGGCCGCTTGCTGCCCGCCTCAGTCAGACGCCGCTCCGCTCCGGCCTCAGACGGAAAACAGTCCCCAGCGCCACCTCCGCGGCCGCTGCTACCGCTACTGAGCCAACAAAGGGGCGTGCGTCACCGCGCCGCGCTGCGTCATCGCGTCACTCCCCGAGCGTTACCGCGCCCCGCCTCCCGGCCCCTGCGTGGAGTTCGGGGAGACCCCACGGCCTGGCTGGAGACGCGGGAATATGCCAAGTTCGGCGGTGTGCGGGGCCGTGGGCCGGACAGAGCCCCGTAAACCCTCTACGTGAAGCGGCTGCGGTCTTCTGAGCGCGGAGAGCGGGACCCCGGGACCGCCCTGGTGGAGGCTTGTGCGGAGGGCCGTAGGCACACGGCAGGCTCACGCAATCCAGTGGGGACCGCGGTCTTCCTTCCTCCCTAACCTTAAAGGCACTTCCCTGCCGCCCTTAGGTGATTCCTGGAAACCGTCTACCGCTGAGCTCTTTATTCCTGTCTCGCGAGCTACTGACTGGTGTTTGTACGCGGAACCTCTAAATTGTGTGACAGGTGAACCTTAACTTTAGGTAGTTGAGTGTTGCTGTCCACTCCCTGTGGACCTGCTGCTGTTCTCCTCTCTCCCGAAGTGACGTCATTGTAAAGAGGCGTGTCCTGAACTCATCTTGACAAGGCCTTAAGAGTCCTGAACAATGTAAACAGCCATGGCCTTCTTTATCACTAAGAGACTTACATAGATTATCATTTTCACTGAGCCCCAGTACCCATTTTATACTGGAGGAACCTGAAGCTGAGGAATAAAGGTGTATGTAGCCCATGGTGAATCGCTTGCCCAACAACGCAAAAGCCCTAGGTTCAAACTCTAGCAGTGGAGCAGAGAGGCTTCATGATCCGTAATATATATTGCATAGCATACAAAATATAGTACTCATTCTAGGACACAATACAGGCAAATATTGCATCCAGGGGACCAAAGGAAGGGAGAGACTGCAGTGTGAGCCAAGTATTGATGGATGGCTAGTTCAACAGGAGGGAGGGGAAGATGGTCTAGGTTGAAACAGGAATAAAAACACCAAAGGTACAGGTAGCTAATAGTGCAGAAGCTTGAAACTCGTTGGCAGTAAATGGGAAAATTATTAGGCAAATTGGGCAGAAGTCAAAATAGAGCATTTTGTGATATTCCAAGCATGGACTTAACTCTTTGTTTTGGTTTTTATTCACTTTGACCTTAACACTATAAATAAGACAGGAGAATCAGAAAAGTGTTGAAGAGGAGACATAAGAAGCCTCCCTCTTCAGATAACTTGAAGGACTGGCCAGACCGAAAGCCTTTTAAATTCTGAATCTCTAATTTATTAAGCAATCTTAACATATAGATATACTGATTAAGGTATAAAGTTCCTTTAGAAATTGACTTTGAAAAATGGAAAGATAAGTATGCCTCTGCTAATTTGTCCATTTTGTTTTCAAATGATCAGATTTCTTTTTTTCTCTGTAAGTTTTGTATTTACTGGGGGGATGCCATGGTATTCATGTGGAGGTCAGAAGACAACTTGTAGGAGTCAACTTCTTTCACCATATAGACTCCAGGATCAGGTCTTCAGGCCTAGTGGCAAGTACCTTTACCTGCTGAGGTGGGGTTTTTTGTTTGTTTGTTTTGTTTTTTTTAAAGATAGGGTCTCATGTAGCCAAGGATAACAAACTCCTGATCGTCCTGCCTCTCTTCCTCCCAAGTGTGGGGATTACAGGCATGCACTACCTTTCCCATCTCAGAGCAAAGCTTTTAACATGAGTGCTGGGTTATCTTGGTCCTTTAAGTCAGTTCTGTTTAGTAATTATAGGTTGTTGTGACAAATGGGGCAAGCCATAGACACAAACACCCTTTGCTCTACTCCATCCCTGTTGCACTCTACCTTTGGAAAAAATTCAGTAACATTTGTGTATTAGTTACTTTTCTTGTTGCTGTGGCAAAAATACCTAACAAAAACAAGGAAGAAAAGGTTTAATTTGGCTCACAGTTGGAAGGTACAGCCCATCCTGGAGAGGAAGGCACAAGACATTTC